CAAAGAGATTGCGAGAAATCGAGTTGAAGATTTGTGTGTGCAGATCCGGACAAGATCGATGAAAGGATTGACTTTACAAAGAAGGGTATGGAGCATATTGAACATGAAGGTGGGTGAAAAGGAGATTAGGCCAAAAGGACAGTGAAATCAAAAGAAAGCAGGGGTGATGGAAGAGACCAATCCAGCCAACAAACAGAGGAAAAAACAAATTGAGGGAGAAAGAAAGGGAAACAAAAGAAATGAGAAATGAAGGACTGCCACCTACCCTAGACAGAGCTAGGATCGGCGGCTGCAAAAGAGAGGATGAACGAAAATACACTCACATACCAATGAGAAACACTCTCAGGAAGAGAGAAAGGCTCTCACCAAACGGGAGAGAAAGGGCTAGCTAGCTGCAATATATGAATCAGGATACGCAACTATATTACAAAGAGTAATGTTAGAGAGATCAAATTTTTAAACCAAATTTGCAAACCAATTGTCACAAATAGGAAATAAACATATTAATCAATATTTAAATACTAAACCAATCATCTTCAACCACATCATTTGTTTTACAAAATTTAATTTAGTTTAATTTAAAATTTTGATCTTCCTAACATCACCCTATTAGACAAATACAAACTGATAGACAATTAAAGCATAGCCCACAAGCTCTAAATCTAATAAGAGCATTGGACACCTAGCACTAGCAGGGTTAACTCTCAAGAAGCGTCTACAATGTGACACTTTTTGCGGGAGTTTTTAATGTTGTTTGATTCTTTGAAACATTAAAATAAAACTACTGTAGGAGCGGTAAACCCTCCAACAAAGATGATCTAAATACCAAAATATTTTTCAGCCTAATAGGAACGCCGTCAGAAACACCAAATATAATAATTCAATTGGTTAGAAATTTGAAAAAAAAATATAACTAATTGTATTATAAATACAATGTGACGACCTGTCCCTATTTTTCATTGTGATTTCTTTTCCGTTGGTGGGAGTTGACGATTTTACCCATTTTTGGACAAAAGTGGAATCTGACGTGGAAGTGGTTTTTGGCTTTCAGTTTCATTTTCCTGGTTTCGTACTAAATTAGTACTCGTCAACACGAACGCGTGGACGCAAGTTAGACCCGAATTAGATTTGTAACGAGAAAGTTAGCTCTGTTAAAGTACATTAACTACGGACGAACGTACAAATTTATAGTGTCGGAAACACTGTCAAGAGGACATATTTTGTACATTTAAAATTGTACAAAATCCATCCCTTCCCTAATTGGTGGATCCAGTCCTGTATCTTCAACAACAAATCAAATTATTCAATTTGATTTTCCACCAATCCCTCGCCACCATTCATTTTTCCTAATTTTCTCCTTCGCCAATCAAGTGCCTTCCCTCGAATTTGGCACCAATCAACTCACTCCCTCACATCTCTCCACAACCAATCAAAAATCAGAAAAGCTCTCTCGCTCTCTCATCTTTCTCTCTCTTGCCCGAGAACCCTTTCTCTCTGCAACTCTCTCAACCGACATCCAAACCACTCAAACGTGACTTGTAACCTACACATTTGAACTCCCCTCAACCCCACGAACACAACCGTGTAACCAGATCTCAATTTGGTTGAGGTTTGACTCACCAACTCAGAAGCTCTGACTCGGTGAGTTCTGGATTGACGATTTTCAAACCGGGTCATAATGTTTTTAGGACTTGGGGAGCTGCTAATCAACTTCCTAAGGGTTCTAGACTAGGTTTGGAAAGTGTTGACATCGAAACACAAGGTTTCAAGAAGTCTCAATTTTAGCTGTACCTTTCAAGGTTTTTTCAGGCCACCTCCATCCACTTTTTGGACTCCAAAAAGGTATAACGTGATTCTATTATTCATAAGCTTTGTTTATACCATATTTAGGGCCTCGCATTTAGATCTCGTACAAATACTCGGGGGACTTAAATGTAATTATGTGATAAAGGAAATGGCAAATATGTAATAAGTGATGAGTCCTTATTCTATAAAAGGACCCCTCACCCTCACAATTAGGGGAGGCCATTTCCTAGACCATCAGAGACCTCACTCTCTCCCTCAGAGGCTCTGAATATCTCTCCCTCACTTCTTAGATAAATACATAATCAGTGTGGACGTAGCCCAAACCTTGGGGTGAACCACGATACATCTTGTGTTACTTACATTTCATGCAAATTCACGGTTGGATTTACGTTGTTCCAAGACCTCCGGTTTTGTGCATCAACAAGCTTCATTTCAATATAAATTTTGTGAAAAATGGTTGAGAAATGACCAAGTTGTGAAGCTGTTAAATTTTACCCAGAAATCGGCGAAAATTTCCAGATTTCGGCGAAACCAAACAGCGACAGACGAGGCTCGTCGGAGAAGACAACGAAATATTCCATCAAAGTTGACAAAATATTCTAACGGCGTCAGGTAACGCTTTTAACTTCCGTTAGTTATTTAACGTAATATTCCTGACGGACGTTAGCGTTTGGCCTATGCATGGTGGCTCGTATGACCGTGCCTTGGCTGGCGCGTGAGGGCGTGTTCAGTGTCCAAAAATTATTCTGAAAATTTGTGTAGGTCCGTGATGTTGAGTAGATCGATTTCGTATATTTAAACCTTATGTTTGAACAATCTATGAAGATTTTATTTAAGTTTCCATATAGGTATTATTAAACAAATTAAATTAGTAATTTCACATTTAGGGGAAACATATCCCGAGGACATACGGGGTCAAACAAGGCTCGAAGGCTTCGTTTCGACTGCGTTATATCTAAGTGGGCAGTTTACTTATATATATATGAATTATAGTTTCCACAAATGCATTTAAATAGATTTACGCCTATTATGCCATAATTTTAGTTTAGTTTGGTAAATGTGGCCTTGTGATTGGAATTATAAAATGGCTCTGGCATATTCATACGCATTTTACCTGCTTATATATATAGTACTGTGGTAGAATACTAAAATGATTCTACAGGACGCGCAGGTAAATTTAGGTGAGTTTATTATATTGATTCGAATTGTATGGCATTCATATATTCATATAGTTAGCTCATCATTACTACACCCCGGTGTTAGTGCTCCCACTCGGGGCCAGGGCCAGCCTTCACGTCTATGTTCACCTCTCGCACCGCATGCTCATCTTGGATCCAAGTTAAGTGCTAACTTGTTGTATAGGTCGCATTAGGCGACTCCAACTTGTAGGTGACTACGCTTAGCACAAGCTTCACGTGATTGTAGTACTAGAGTGTATATTATTATTACACCCAGCCTGTCGGATAGGTCACGTTAGGTGACTTTGACTTATGTGCTAGTATAGATTGATGAGCTATATGTGACTTCGACTTGCATGTTAGTATATTTGTCAAGCACATGCCTATATTTCTATTGTCGTGAATTATTCTTGTTGTGGCATATTTCTGATATATATTGTTGGCATACATTAAATCTTCATACTTATACGTAGTATGATTTTAAGGAAACTATACTTGTTTTACGGCAAGGGGTTAGTATGTTTGAAAATAAAGGTTTTCGTACAAAAAGTTGTTTTGTTGACCCACTCAACTTTGTTTTTCGCCCCTCCAGGTTTAGTAGTTGTACTTATGTGTAAACGAGGATTCTGGCAAATCTCAGGAGATGGTTATCTTTAGTGGTAAAATCCTCATCCTATTTACTATACTGTCTTATGCTCTCACATCACGTGTGAAATGGGTTCAATCCCACTCACCTGTGCACTCTTTTGATTAGACACTTTTAGGTTTAAATTTATTCACATCCTTTTTCCACTACACTTCACTTTATAGCTTCGTCACCCTCCAGGTGTCGGCCAACACAACTCGATTTCGAAGTCCAAGTAGACATTCCAGGTTGGGGTGTGTCATACAATACTTGGTGTACTTTACCGTATTTCCAACACACTGAAAAATTTCTCCTAAATATCATCACCTTATTAACATCATTATATAAATATATTTATACTAAATATGAAAGCCATATCATAATATCTACGAAATATCCGTAACATGTGAACAATATCTGCTAAATATGAACACTTTCGCCGATGAAGACGAAGTCAATCAAGTATAAGATGTCAGAAGAGGCCCCAGATAAAAGACAAATCTTCAGGGCATCCATATTGCGGTGACGGATTTTGTGTAAAGCAAGGTGCCCATGATCTCCATCGTCTCCACCATCTTGAATCTATTCTGTCGCGCACACATGCAAATATGTAAACTCAAGGCACTTAGTGATAGTTTTATTTATTTATTTATGAATAAGAAGTTTTAGGTTCAATTCACGCTAAAGACGAATTTGAACCATATTATTGCTAGCTCATTGTGAAACTTAGCTCACTCTTCTACCCCTTAATGTAGATAATATTATTTGTTAAAAAAAAAAAAAACGAAACCCACATCTTAGATCCCCACCATCCCAAATCTCTACTGCCACAACCATTGAAAACACTGACGCTGTCATTAAAACCATCGTCACTCTGACTCAGAAGCCGCCGCCGCCACCACCACCAACACCAACACCGCAATTCAACAGTTTTGGGTTTTTCCAATCCGATTGTAAGCTAAACCTCATTGCCATTTGGTTCGTTGGTTTAGATCCAACGCCCAACGTTTAAACGCCGCACACATAAAAACATTGCCTCATATTACAGTTGTGCACACTCAATTGTCTTTCAGGAGGAGTCAGGACCAATGATTAAAGTCCATAAGCATAAGTTCCAAATTTATAAATACCAAGTGAGTTTTTAAAATACGCTAGGACGGCGAGCTGGAGTCTAGGCAAATTTAAGTAAATTGATTATATGTATAAATAAATAGTATATTTATACTAAAAAAAAACACACATAATTGTATTAATTGCAAAATAAAATTACATATAAATTATAAAGTATTAGAAACATGGGAAACAAACATATAAAGTGTCTATCTAAGTATTCAACAAGTATCTTACATTTTGTCGAAAAATTAAAATGCAAAATGAGAGTTTTCAATTTTCTGTTTCAATGAGAGTCACAATCTAAGTGAATTTAGATGGGCTAGACGGACGCCTAAGCAGGTTTAAACACACTTTCTTAATTTTCAAACATCTAGGGATTAATTGGGACGATGGCCCGCCAGCTAGTGCCTAGGCTGCGCAAGGCGGGGATTTTTAGATCAATGCCATCAAGGATCAAGTTTAATCAAGTAATTGACTTCATCACATTACTAAATGCTAAACAAAGGAGTAAGGGCGAGTTTGTACTAAACTCCGTAACACGAGTCGAGCCAAGCCAAGCAAAGCATAAACTTGAGCTCTTTGCACAAACAAGCCAGGCTTAAACTCAACCGATCCAAACTTAAGCACCTCGTCATTTTTCATTGAAATAAGAGTCCTTCAGGTTATAGGAAAGGAAAACAAAAATTCACAAATGGAACACCGGTAAGACGACGGGAGCTGTTTGATAGCAAGAACAACAATTCAGTAATTAAAATTCACAAACTCATTATACATAAGTATAGGGGAGCAATTTCTTCTGACTCACCCGAAACAGGAAACAACCCAAGCTCATCACCAAGGTACATGAAAAATTGGCCAACTTCTTGGATTATCCTTCAGGATTTTGCCAGATTTTCTCGCCGCACAAGAGATCTCTCTTGCAAGGCATAAATGGTTAAAATTATTCTCCTACAAGACCAAAATTTGAATCAAGCAATTGATTTCCTTCGTCTAGTCATAAGTCGGGTACCTTTTCTTTTAGTTTCTGGTGTCTCGTTTTCTGGATCAAGATCATCTGATTTACGCTCCCTCTTTCTATTGTTTGGAGAAATAGCCTTTCGTTTACTGCTTTTCGGAGTCACCAATTCACTATCTTTCATATCCCTGCTGGAGGAACCTGTCATAGGATCATCTGTCCTGGGTAACTCCTTGTTTTGAGCTCCAAAAGTTGTACCATCTTGTTCAAGTTGTTTTCCGTTTGTTTGAGGCAAGGGCGTGCCATTTCCTGCAGCACTCTTATCCACACTCACTTTCAAACAGTGGCGAGCGTTTTCAAACCATTTGCTTACCTGCAATAATAGACCAGGTTAAAGAAATTATGATATCATGTTAACACATTTATAAAATTAAGGGAACTTGTAATACTGATGCCAAGAAAACAGTCTGACCTGCTTAGCCATTATTCCTAGTTCTTGGGCCAGACTTTCCTTCATAGATCGGTCTGGATAGTGGTTTTCCTTGAACGATTTGGATAGTCGCTGAAATAACAGTTAACAATCGTTTCAAATAACCTCTATGATTTTGGCAAATAAATAATAAATAAATAACCTTTATGATATTCTTTTCTTCACAAAGAGAGAGAGAGGGAGGGAGCTTCGAAATCATAGAATAGGGTAATTTTCTCTTGCTAGATACCATTTTATGTTGTTTGATTGTCAATCTAGACTACACATTTTGACAAGATTAAACCTGATAAGATAAACTAAACACAATTTGTAGTACATCCTGAAATTTACGTCCAATCTTTCATTCAGACGCATTTGCCAGTTGCCTGGCTCCCGAGGCTGGTCGACCAACGATGTTTTCTTTACTCTCAATTGACTGACACAGGTTTCTCACCTAGAGTTTAGGTTTAAACTTTTAAGTTTTGCTACATTTGAGTTCTTAACACTCGAGTTCTGAGTAGTGATGCAAATCTTCAGTGTTCGAACCTAAAATCTAAGCTCGTATGGATACTCTACACCTTAAACTAAGCAACACTGTCAAGAATGGGATCTTAAATTGGATACCATTGCTCAAATTTGTTGCTGTCAGTTGACAGGTGTAAGCCAAATGAAATGCAGAGATTGACATTTGGATAAGAGTATAATATATGTATGTGCATGTGCATGTACACACAAGAACAATATACACAAACACAAAAATTTCAAATAGGAGCTAACTGCATGCAGATGAAAGATGGACCAATCGACCAGTGGCCCCCGTTCAGTACCATAAGTAACCATCTTTTACAGCCTGCGTTTTATTAATTTTTGAACTCGTTCTCTAAATGCTTAATTCCTTTAAGGTGGAGAACTGCCATCTAGAGCTTGGATTTTTTTATCTTATCATCAGGTTGATAACATTATAGTTTAATGTGTTGAATCTGTTGATCCATCAACATGGAAGCATATCAACGGACGAGGTTAATGACAATTTTAACCATACAACTGGACTCTGCAAACACATAAGAGTTGCACAAACAATTGTGACAGCTTACTTACATAGGAAAAAAAAACTAGACTAACAGAACCAAGGATAAGATGTTACAATATAAGAAAGGGGAAAAAAAAGGACAAGTTTCGACTTCATATGCTAGAAAGAGTTAGAAAAAACTTGGACCATAATACCTGAGTTACAGCTTCCCCAAGTTTTCGATATGTTGATCTTGACGATCCACCTTTCTCACTAGTAGAAGCGGACTGAGTAGAGCCATTACGTGATTTGTTTGACAAATTACTTGTATCTTCAACCTTTGACTTTCGACGAGCTCTCTTAGGAGTATTTTTATTTCCGCGAGGAGCCCTTTTAGGAGTATTCTCATTCTCATCTAGATCATGTTTTATATCGTTTGTGATCACTCCATTGTTAATGTTTGACGAGTCTCCATTTGGTGACACCATAGGAGCTTGTCCAGTACCTTTCTTCCTTTTCCTCGGTGCAGCAGTATCATTCCACTCTTCATCATCACTTGAATCAGTAGGAACATTTCCATATGTCTCCTTTAGAATTCGTGGTAAATAGAGCAAACATAAGCAAGCTAGTGACTGAAATAAAACAAGAATAAAAGAGAAACATGGTAGATCTACGATACACAGTACTGAACTACTGATAACCTAGCTATAGAATAATGCATTTGATCTTTCAAGCACAGTGCAAACATTACCAACAAGGGAATGAAACACAGAGACGGGAGTTAAAATTTATAACCTATTCATACTTCATAATAGATTTCAGTCACTTATTATTTAACTTTTTAAGGTAAAGGGCCATGGATTTTAAAGCACTGAACACTACCAGTCATTATTACAGGAGTCTAAATTTTCAGATTCACATGTGTAGTTTGCAACACCAACTACACCACAACCAAATCTTAAAGTTAGAGGAAGAAAAGAAACCCTGAATGCTTGAAAGGACACAGTTTTAACAATCAAAGTTGTGAGGCCTAAAGTGTCAATTATTACTACGTCTAAGGGAGAAAAGATCGTATTCTCCAATTCAAAATAACCAAGCATACTGGGAAACTTGTGGAGTAGAAATAAATACCACACTACGATATTATAGAAGGCAACAAGTGCAGGTGGTATAATCATAGAATCAAGATGCACTTAGAAAAGACACTCACATCATGCAGCTTTTTGTAGTCCAACCTTTCTATGTGCCTTTTCCCAGAAACAGGAGCTGCACCACCTTGGCCAGGACCCAACTCTAATAAAGATAATACCTCATCTTTTAAAGGTTGTTTCTTTTGCCCACGTCTAGAACTTTGTTTGCTGGAGCCTCTAAGAGGCCCACTTTCGTCCAATGACGTTGACTTGGGACCTTCAACATCTTCAGCAGACATATTATTGTCGTCAAGAGCAGCTCCTAGATCCTCAGAGTCAGATGTAAAATCAGAACTTGAACTTTCCTTCTTATCATCCTCAATGACTTCAGGAGCATCAGGATTATAGTCATCATCTTCTGAATCATCAGAAGGAAGTCCTAAGTACTGCTCGTCATTATTTTTTGGAGTATCAAGTCCATCAGATGCAGATGCATATTCAGATTCATCAGAGCTTGATTCTTCTCCCGGAACTTCATCATTTGTTTCTGGACCATCAGGGTCATAATCATTATCATCAGAATCATCTGATGGAAGTCCATGGGAGTGATCCTGATTATGTCCTGATGCTGCGGCAGCCGCTTCGGGAAATACCTTCTGCACATGAAATAGGAGTGTGAAAAGAGACCAGAGTGTTTAAGCCAAAAAACAAAGAGAAAAAAAAAAGCATAACAGCTTTTGGCATTGACCTCCCAGCTGTCAGTGACAGAAAGATTTGTTCCTTGAGAGTCATTAAGCAAATCAAAGCAATCAACTTTGCAGTCACATCCAGGGCATAGCCAACCCTCGTCGTCAGGTGGAACTGCCAAATGAATAATTAAGCAACTAAGCATAATAAGTAACAAAAAACAAGGGAGTGCTTGGACATTACTGTCTTCACTTAAGAGTGGTGGTTCTAAACAGAACTGGTGGAACCCACGGTCACAAGCACCATCACAGAGTATAATATCATTCTGAAGAGAAACGTCTTTGGATCCGCATTTTGCACAGAATATCTGCCCAATGATATAAGTTTTAAAACACAGTTACACCTTATGTGCGAAACAGAAAGAATCACAATCAGAACCCATACGTAAAAAGCACAAATTGAAAAACATAACAGTATTGTCATGCGACTCATTCCAGAGGAAAAGTAAATCAGACGATAAATCATGACAAAGAAGATAAATATAATTGTCTTAACAAGTGGAACAACTTAAAATTGAAGAATTCTCCTACATCCTCACTGTCAATCTGTCCTTCGGAATCAAATAAAGATTCTGGAAACATTCCTTCAGAACATAGCAAATCAAGATGTTGAAATAGATCTCTTATCTTCAACTTGCGTCGAAGTATCTCAAAAGTCGCTCTTTGAAGCTCCTTCTCTGGCTTCAGTTTTTCTAGGCTGCAAAATTACAAAAGCAGTCAGAACTCAGAACCCAAAGCCAAAGATATTACTCACCATAAAAAGTAGAAAATTAAACATGACCAAATTGCCGACAACAAAAAAGCCATACCACAAGACCTCATGTATTAAAAAAAAGATCTTTCTGAAACACAAATATCTAAATCCTCTAGCATCTGATAAATAAAGAAACCAACTAGACATCAAAGTTACAAATGACTCTCTTCATAAAGAAAACGATATAGGAGAACTTATGCACCTGGATCCTTTCCAACCTTCACCAGAGTAAGCATCAATCAGAGATTTCTCATAGCTTATCCGGTTCAGCAAATATCTCAGATGTTTCCTGACTCTTGAAAATTCATCATCAATGACTCTATTCTGTTGGCTCTGCTTTCTCTTCTTCCTTCTTTTATGTTCAACATTACTTACATTTGCAACGCTATTACTTGATTCAAGAGTTGCATTATTACTTAATTTAGGATCTCTAGGCTTCTCCCCTATCTTTGAGCGCAGAACTCTGTCACTGCCAAGGGAAGATTTTGACATATATTTCTTCTTTCTTGATTTTGGATTTTGCTTATCCTTGGGTCCATTCTTAGATGGCATTTCTGTCTTTTCAAGACTAAAATTTTGGGTCACATCTTCTGGAAGTGGTTCCATTTCTTTATCATTAGGAGGACTCTTGCCTGCGTCTTCAATGGGTAGTTCCAAATGTCCAGTAGGAGGATCCTGGGTCACAGCTTCAATACAAGACCTCGATTGTTCAAAAAAAATAGAGCTGGGTGCTGCTTGGGTACTTGTAACTTCATTATTATGAGCAGGTACAGAGTCAAGCTGATCTTTTTGTGTTTCTGATTCGCTATGTACACTTCCACACACAAATTCATTGGTCACCTGTAATGTAATCTGGTTAGAGCATGAAACTTTGCCAGTCTGACAAGTCTTTGACAGATCTTCAGGAGGCAATCCTGCTTGTTCGTTAAGAGAAGTCATGTTCACATTTTCACTAGATGACTGCAAATGTTCATTGCTACCACAAATGGGTACTTGATCATTTTGTACACGATCTGAGGAAGAAGGATGCTTTTCTTCAGCTAGTTCACCAGATGAAGTTCCAAAAGCACAATAACTTTCCTGTTCCAACGGCATTTGTTCAGAGCACGAAGTTTTATTGGTCGGGTTGTTCACACCCAGATCTTCACAAGGCATTTCCATTTGATCAATAAGAGAATTCTTGCTCACATTTTCAGAAAATGATCGCAGTTGGTCCTTCATGGTACAGGGAGACACTGCAGTTATGGTTTGTAATGATTCATCTTGTTTGTATCCCGAACTGGAATGAGATCCCTGTGTTGCAAAAACATTTTCAGCTCCTCTTTGACTACTCTTGCTCACATCTTCAGAAGGCTGTCCCAATTGTTCAAGATGAGAATTCTCAGTCACATTTTCAGATAATGACTCTGACTGTCCACCGGCATTGCAGATTTCCCGTAGCTCATTACGAACAATGGCGCAGCCAATGCTTTGTTTTGCTGGTTCACTACAATGACTTTCAGAACCAATTTCATGTATCTGTTCTGATGTACCTTCTTCTTGGCATTTTGTTGCATGACTGCTATCACGTTCTGGAGGAATATCCAGTTGTGTAGCATCAGCCATATGAAGATGATAAGAAAATCCACGGATAAGTATCAGTAACTCTGTCTGTTTGATACCCTGTGAAGAAATTGGTTTTATTTTTCTGAGGACTCGGCGTAGCAATGCTATTCAAATATCTAATTAGGATAATAACTGACCAATACCTCTTTCCACTCTGCTACCCGATCATATTTAACAAATAAAAAATCTTCAACATACAATGCACCTCACCCAAAAATGACAATGCAAATACAATTTCCAACCATACAAAGACTCTCGATGTTGTTGCATTGAATGAAACCAGACGCCTGCAAGCACGATTAAAAGATTATAAGATTGCTATTTGGACACCAAGCATACCACCCCACCCTCATTAATAGAGGGCGAAAAGAGAACAAGATAAAGATGTTTCTCATCCTCTTGACAAAAGGTTGAATTAGACACGGGTACCCGTAACATACCAGTGAAAAAAATTGTACTTGATTATGTAGGAATGGGGGAGTACAAGGCAGAAAGTAAAAGGAAATAAGTAGTGATGAAAGAGTTTGGCGGAACATAAAACTAGCTACGCAATGCAACACCCTCCACACAGATCATGAGAACAAGGATTCCACTGAAACTCCAAAAAGATCTTGTATTGCAGTAAAGATTACGCAACCTAGATAATCGTAGCCTCTGATCCATTGTCCTAAAATTTTCTAGCGTGAGCTTATTCGGCACCACAAAACTCGCCGAGTGTGTACATACTAAATGCATCTTGCCTATATCTAATTTAACGACAACATTGTTAGAGAACAACTATTTATTAGAGAATAAAATAAATAAATAAATGTTTCTTTCTACCTCAACCTCTGTTTGGTAGCCAAGAAACGCCGAGAAAATAACGAAAACAAAACTGCTTCCAACTTATCCGCAGCTGAGCTCAATTCTTCCCCCACCGAAACTCAGTGAGTTCAGGCAACTTCTCCAACAATAACCAAAATTGGAGAAGAAGAACAACAACAAGACCTAAAGCATGAAGCTATTTTCTCAGAAACCTAATTTTTCAAAAAATAATAATTAAAGTAAAAAAGTAAATTAAGCTAAAAAGTTACCTGGTGAATCTAGTGGTTTCCCCCACTGCGGAGAGAGAAGGAGGAGAGAGAGGGGGAGGGAGGGAGGGAGGGAGGAGGTTGGGATGGGAAGGGAATTGGATCTGTGTTGTGTGGTTGTGCGCGGTCCCGAGAGTTGCTGACGCCGCCGAGGGAAAAGAAACGGTTCCCACTAAACACAGCCGTCTATAAATCTGGGCCACCGTTGCGCTCTCGCGCTCGCTCTCTCTCTCTCTCTCTCTCTCTCTCTCTCTCTCTGCTATTTTGTGCTTGCGGTGTGTTTGTGCCGTGTACTAAGTGGGCTGGGCCTTGATGAATAGAGAAAAATATTGCTTATGTTGCAGCTGTAGACCGCTATGAATGTGGTTACTTGATTAGGCCCAAAACCAAGCAGTGTATGGGTTTCCACCACAACTTACTCAACTTACTTATTCATATATGATCTTCAACCGAATGAACTAAACATAATCCTTCAATAATTTATTAGTTTATACTTTAAATTTATTGGTTAGTTTAATTAAACTACCGTTTGATGCTTTTAAATCTAGCCATTGAATTTCAATCAATTATTGCAACTGATGAGCTGGTCCCCAAAAAAGGGCTAAGCCGAGGGCTACATTTGACCAGTCTAATGCCTTTTTGGCCAAATAATGATATGTTGGGCTCCACAAAATTGTAGTCTAGTCATCGGTTGGAGATTAGTTTTTGGATAAATCAAATCATTTATTTACTTTTAGACCTTTAGCCCTCTCCATTGAAGATGGTAAAATACAATGTGGTGAAGTAAAGAGTTTGGGTTTGATTAACAAGAAAATTCATTATGTTTCCTTCATGTCAGTCCCTTGTCTGTAAGACAGAACCAAAAAGTTCTTATAACCGGAAACAAAAATCTTTAGTCTTTTAATTGGAGTTTTGTCCTTGCAGTTATCGGAAACAAAAATGTTGTGAGTTTCTTTTCCTATTTCCAAGTTGAGTTTACATTAGCATTGTTCGAGATTTTCTCCATTTTTCTCATCTTTATTTATAAAGTCAATGGCCTAATGAATAGTATTGTTTTGAACAAAAATGCTCCTCAAACAAAAAACTTCAAAAGCAATCTAAAATAATGCATTAAATGTATATATAAAGCCAATGACCCAATGAATAGTATTTTTTGGTGTCACAATTTTCACAAAAAAAAAAAAATTGAACAAAAACGCCCCTCAAACAAAAAACTTCAAAAGCAATCCAAAATAATGCATCAAATATGGTATTTTCATCATTTTAACAATGTTTTTTTTAATAATTAATGTTTTTTTTTGTACAGTTTTTTTAAATAATTAGTACCTCACAATAAGCTAGCTATAATGTGATTCAATCAATTGTTCATAATTTCTCTATTTTTAAATATGTTCAAAACATCTTAAGAAACGTGTAATGTTGGTTATAAAAAAAGGTCTTTCGCACGCAGATATAATATGATTAAATTAGTTGTCAAATGATTGTTTTTTTTTAACAAATGATATTATCTACACTAAGGGAGAGGGGGTGGGTTTAGCCTCATAATGGGCTAGCAATAATGTGATTCAATAAGTTGTTTATTAAATATTATTTTCTCTATTCTTAATATAAATTCAATAGAGACAAATTTTATTATATGGATTCAGTTGCTTTAATTGGTTTATGAGGGGTTTCTTTTAGGCCCAATGAATAGTATTTTTTGGTGTCACAAGCTTCACCAAACAGAATTAGACAAAAATGCCCCTCAAACAAAAAACTTCAAAAGCAACCCAAAAAAATGCATCAAATGTGGTAAGGGTATTTTTTCATTTTAACAGTGTTTTTTTAATATTAATTTTTTTAAATAATCAGTTGTTCACTAAATATTATTTTCTCTATTTTTAAATACGTTCAAAACATCTTCAGAGACGTGTAATGCTGATTATAAAAGAGATCTTTCACACGCGGATAATAATGTGATTAAATTAGTTGTTAAAAGATTTTTTTTTTAACAAATGATATTATCTATATTAAGGGGGATGGGGTGGGCTGAGCCTCACAATGGGTTAACAATAATGTGATTCAATAAGTTGTATATTAAATATTATTTTTCTCTATTCTTAATATAAATTCAATAGAGACCAATTTTATTATGTGGATTTAGTTGCTTTAATTGGTTTATGAGTGGTTTCTTCTAACATAATCTAAGATTATTCATTTACTTCAAATATTTGACTTTTCATTTATCAATTTATGCATATAAATATATTTAAAATGTGTAAGTCGCATGTAGCACGCCGTAATTCAAAAAAATATCTTCTACACGCACGTGAGTGCATATATGAACGCTAGTCAACTCTTATTTGTTTGTGCATGTCTATACTTTATTCTCATGTTACTTTTTCACTTTCTTGAAGGAACTCCATGAAGTCAAGAGGAAAAGTGCTGCTCTTCAAACACAACAGTATGTTAGGGAAGAAAATAATGATTTGTTGGACTATTTGTGATCATTATAGCCAGAAAAGGTTACTATTTCTTCAACATTGAAAACTCTCCTGACTTTTTATTTTCCGAAGTCAAATATTTAAAAACTATATCATGTGTACGGGGCGCTTTAGAAGAAACCCTAAACTTCATCTTTATTCCTACCGCCAGCCTCTAGCTTTTGCTTAGGGTCGGTGGCTGCTAACTTTTCAAACTTGTTTTCCTCCTCCTCCTTCTCTCTATCCTTCTCTTCCTGCCCAACACCTGCAATGACCCCCTTTCCCGTCTAGAATTTAAGGATCTACCAGTTATTATCTTGAAGGAGTGGATGGAGCAAGATCTCTAGGCCTTTTGTCTTTCCCCGCACTTGCAGTGTCCCCGTTTCCCTTCAAGGAATGGTGGACCAACCCACCATCTACGGATGGTGTGGATGGAGTACTATCTCCAGGCTGTTTGCCCATGTATCATGGTAATTTGATTTAGAGCCTTTGAGCTACGATTTGGGGCCCTACGCTCAAGATCTTCCAAAACTTCAAATCAAATTCCAAATTTGGTGGATCTCACCTCAACACTTGCTTGCTGCTTCTTTTGTGTTTCTCTTTGGTCAAGGACAATTATATGTTGTCACCCTTACAAAGGTCTGATATCTATTCATAATGGTGTTTACACTACCTGACCTTTTTTTAACTGTTTGGTTCTGGGCATTTAGTTGCACATTGTGTGCTTGGTATCGGTTGAGGACTAGAAACGTGGTGATCGGTATTGGTGTGGTTTCATTAGATCTGTAGATTTGGCACTTTTTCCTCGGCATTGTGACTGTGATGGGTTCGAGCTGTGCTCCATGCGATGATTTTTCTTGGTTTTTTTATCCGCATGCCGTCTTCACTGTTTTGACTGTGTACACGGTTGGTGAAGCTATGTTTAGGGTTATTAGGTTTTTTTGTGTGGTCACTTTTGGGCCCCTACAATTGGGCCTTAAGTTTTAGGCTCCTATCTAATTTTTTGCTTTCGGAATAGATAAGAACCTTTACTCATGCATTGTGTGCATATGTGGCGTCCTGTCTGTACCGACCCCTTTTATAGGCTGTTTTTATTTCTCGTTTTCACCTGCAGAGTCTTTGTAATTTGTCCTTCTAGACTTTGTTATTAAAATTCCCATCGACCAAAAAAACAAAAGAAAGAAAACTCTCCTGATTTGGTATTTGAAATAGTAGGTGAATCTACATTTCCAATAGTGGGCTTTGTATATATACTCATATGCTACTGACCAATGCAACTACTACATGCTTTATAATATCATGTTACAATTCTATATTGATATTTGTAAATTTTCTTCAAAGTATATTAGATTGTATTATGGTTAATCATTGTCAAAACTTCTATCCCTGACAAGCGATGCTGCAAGTTAGGGCTGGGTTCGGTTCGAAATGGTTCGGCTTTTTGCCAAAACCGAAACCGAACCTAAATTTCGGTTTGATTAATTTTTTTTTTCGGTTCGATTTTTTCAGGTTTGGTTTCGGTTTTTTTTTAATGAAAAAATTGAAATCTGAAATTTTTGAATGAAAAAAATTGAAATCTTATACTAAAGTTACTTTAACATCAAATCAAAATCAACATGTATAACCTACAAGGAAAGAACATAAAAGAATAGTCAGGTCCCTATCTTCGATTTTCCATTCATTCTGATGCAGTTAATGATTTAATTACTTGATCAATTTTGCAAAAATAATACCCAAAAAAGCTAAGAACACATCTCTAAACTGCAATTCCCTCACTCCCATACCTCAAGAAATGATGAATCGGACCCATCAAATTTAAAGCAATACCCACAAACAGGTTCTCAAAATCCCAGAAAACCATCAAAATCTTCAATCAAGACAAATAATAATCAATAAAATATTACAATTTCTAAAACATGGGTATTCTCCGATTCTGCATGCATTAATCAATTATTACATTCATTCATTTGAAATTCAAATAACTAACAAACCCACAACACAAAAATCGAACAAATCTGCAATACGAACTAAAACAACAACCCATAAATTTACACCAAAATTTCAGTCTCCCCCTCTGGAATTTACCCTAAAAAAACCCATGAATCGACAAAATAAATAAGAGAGACTGGGGATCTTAGCTTGGAGTGAGAAGATTGAGAAACGAAATGACCAATCGTGAAGGGAGGGCTGGCTGTGGGTTATGGAAAAGAATGGAGAAATTGAAGGCAAGGACATCGAAGGAGTCTGGAGGCAGGGGACGAGAGAGAGAAGAGGGGGTGAAAAAGAAAAGGTGAGGCTGCTACCCTAATTCTAGTGGCTAGGGCTTTGTTGATTTCTAATTCCACAAAAGACTATAGATTTCAATATTTATAAATAGTTTATTCATACAATCATAACAAAACAAAACATGTTCCCAAGTTGGGTTGAGCCAAGCATTTCAAGCTAGAGCGCAGGGGTTAAAACCCTCATGCCAATAGAATTTCGGAAATTTTGAGAATTTATATGATTTTTATAATTAAAATATTATAAAAAAAAATAATTAAATATATAAATTGGTTCGGTTCGGTTTCCGGACCTCAAAAACCAAAACCAAACCAACCAAATTCAATTTGGTTTGGTTTTTTTGCGATTTGGTTTTTTTCTATCTTGATCCAATTTTTTTTCGGTTTTTGGTTTTTCAAACGCACCCCTACTATAAGTGATAACTCTGACAGCGATCAAATTGCTTAAATGTTTGTCTCACTTCCGTTTAATTGTACATAGATGTGTTGATAAGTGTATACAAAATTTGTATTT